TTCGGATTTCTTATCACGTAGGCAAAGTATTAAAATTTCCTTCTTTTTATGGTATTCAGAAACTCCCTTTCTTTATGTTTAGACGTTTCAGAACTGCTTGGTCTATCTATGATATCCTTGCCATTCCGCGGTAGACCCATATATCGAAAGCCTTATTTTTTTAAAACATCGTTTCAGTAAAGAGTCCACACTTCCATTCATAGTGTATAATGCTGAAGACATAATAGCATAATAAACGCTGGAATTCTTAAGGATTTGTTGGATCAATTACTTCACTTAACTAAGCCGAAAAACTTTTGATTTTCGCCATTTGATCACATGTGTATGGACCGGATGTGTGAATAGATGTGAGAAAATGCGTGGTGTATAGTAGCACTTTGTTGTGCAACGTAAGTTTGTGCAATTTGATCGCAAAGTTTATAACAAAATACACACTTATTTCGATAAACAATCGAAATACTGTTGATGATAAATACATTAGTTCATAAAACTGACATGTGTCAATCGATATGAAAATATATGAGTTGTTTGAATATGAAAAATAAATAAGTTTAAACAAAGCCTCTTTTAGGAATTTGTAATAAATCTATTAACTTGCTAATAAATAATATTAATGTCATATTGATAAATATTCTTTTTTATTAACTGTATTTTATTTGATATGGTGAATGCATATAATAGTAGTCAAAAGAATCTATGACTGGGAATAAATTTATATTTTTATCATTATATCAAAATTTAACCGTGTCACAGGTGGGCAGTCACAAAAATACTCCAAAGCAAACAAAAACAACAAAAGAATTTAATTACTGTTTTACAATGGCTATTTTTAGATATATATTGCCAGACTCATTAGCTGCCACCTTATTAAAATGCAGTTCCCACTATCCTTTTAAAACTTATTTAAAAATGCAACCAAGCAGAACAAATAGAAAATTTGGCACACAAACAAACTGCAGACTTTCAATTGTTGTCAATGAATTAAAAAGTTATAAAACTAAATTAAAAACAAGTTCGAAGGTTATATGTTAAATAGTCGATATTGGTTATTGAAGAAAATGCCATGAAAACATTTTTTAAATCACAGTATAGGAAACGTACACAAGGAACATAACAAATCAAGTAGCGATTACAACTACATGTTGTACGATTTAATCCTCTATATGTTGAGAGATATCGAGTAGCTGGTCATTTTAGGGCAATGTATGGAAATGGATTTCATCTAGAGGAATAGGAATAGTATTGGGTATTGGTGGCAGGTTTGTTGGGCTGACTTATCTGAATATTATAGAAATAATCATGTTTCCTCAGTCTACAACAGTTGTACTCAGAAAATAATTTTATCCTCCAACAAGATAATTGTCTTGTTCATACTGCAAATATAATAAACCAATGACTTCAGAATAACAACATCGAAACCTTACCATGGCCCAGCTGCAGTCCAGATTTAAACCCAATCGAGAATGTGTGGGGATAATAAAGCGTAATTTTATACCTCAAAAGGCTGAAGAGCTGTGGCACGGTATACAACAGGTTTGGGAAGAACCCTCTGAAGAAGACAATTTCATAGTTCCTTTCACGCAGATGGACAAAAGACTACAAGCTGTTATCAATGCTGATGGAGACATTACAAAATATTAATTTTATTTTTATATATCTAACTTTAGTACAGTTTTGATCTTCCAGACCCTCGCTTTCTTTTGAGAGTTTCTTGTTCCCTCCATTTTTTTATTAATAGAAAAACGGTGGTTCTGCTTATGTTAAAATGTTTTACTGTCTCTGATAGTGCCCAGTTATCTTTTAATTTGGTTACAATTCTTGCTTTAATATATTCTTGAGTTAAGTCGTTTGTTTTATTCCTTAATAATAATAAAAATAATAACAACAACCCTATTATATGTAAAAACTAACATTTATATACTCTTTATAAAATGCAGGAATTCAAAATATTTGTTGTTTAAACTAATTAACACAATTGTTTGTTGTTTGTTTGTTTCTTTTATTATTTGCCTGTCATAATAAATTTAATATAATGTCAGACCAATCAAATACACTGCTCAAACAACAAATTACAGATTTTGGGGGACATGCGGGACTTCCTGCGGAACAAAGCACCAGTTCCATCCCGCGGGACAAAGCGTGGGAAAGGACGTTCCGCGTGCATGACTAATTTTTGCATATGGTAATTTTTTTAGTGTCTGTGTTTTGGTTTTGTATTCAATATTTGTTTTCACATTTTTCTATTTCAACATATCCTCTCAATTATAGTTAGGTAGGGTCATTACCTCGCATTTTTTTTGTTTAGACCATATTTTGTTTTGAAATGGAATCATAGGTTTTTCATTAATTGTAATATCTCATATACATAGATGCCGGTTAAGTAACGACGGAACCTCTGATAAAATTACTGAGCTAAAAAGGTATAACATAAAAACAAACTGCGCTTAGATGTTACTAAAATAATAATTAATTAAATTAAATCAACAAAAAAATATTTTTTTTTGGATATCTTCTCCATCTGAAAGTGGGCATGGAGAAGTCTCATAATTTTAGCCTCATTCTAAATAAGATTGTGATGCCAAATGTATCAAATGTATCCTTGATAATAATTGTTTTTTTTTGACGAATAAGTAGTTATACTTTGCATACAATAACTAATTATTAACATTAACATAAATAATTATTAGACGGTAACTAGTGTTATAATATCTAATAAATATTTATAAGTATTTCAATAATTTTTTTATAAGAAAAGTTTAAGAAAAAAAAACATCTAAACATTCTTAACATTTTAATATTGTCTAGTATATAACAAAAAACAACAAGTATTTTCATAGTCATTAAAATAAACGGTAAATTTGTTAACATAATGAATTTTCCTTTTAATAATATATTTATTGACAATCAGAAAACACAATTCTATAGCCTAATTTCATAACTACAATGCTATAAGTACTACAGTAAATGACCGTTTTGGAGCGTAATTTTCCTCTTCACGGCGGATTTACTTGAAAGTTTGGATTTACGTTCATCTTACCCTCTATTTAACCTTTGGACTGGAGCTCAGGTTACTTTTACTTGGAGGTGAAAGACACCCCTTCTCGGGGTTGAAAAACAATATGCTCAAAATAAGTCCAAAAATAATCTGTTCTTAAATGCATCGTTAACCCAATTAATGTTATGGCTACTGATACAAATCCTTTTATTAGAGAATTAAAAGTAAGAATTCATAAATTAGAAAAAGTCAATACGAATTAAAATTCACTTGCGTAAAAGCTCATATAGGACTTCGTGGCAATGAAGTTGCAGACTCAGACAAAAAAAGCGTTACAACTGGAGAGCATATCAACAACAATAATTTAGGTGCTCAAGAATATTTATTGATATTATCTAAGAGTAATTTTAAGGCAAAATGTTTGTACAAAATGTTGTACAAATCAACGAGTTTGAGTTTAAGTCCAAGTTAAGAGTTTGGAAAAACGTTTGGAGCTTCAAAATCAGTACAGGAGAATTCATGCAAAGATACACGTTGTCAAAATGGATATCAAGAAATTTATCAATCAGAGCGGCATGACCTTTTTGATTATTATTGGGGATTTGCAGATTACCAAAAACAAAGAGACTGGCTGCTCTCGTGTATAAAAGAAAAATAAATTAAGAGAAGTTAAAAAGCTACCGCAACAAGCAGGAAAAATAAAACATTCAAATACGTAATTATCAAAGAGGGGGAAGAGGTAGAAGTGTGCCATCAATTTACTTTAAAGACACTTTGTATTTCACAAATGGCATTAAGCTATACTAAAGAAAACGAATATGACGAAAAATTCGCAAGACCGGATCGAAGAGGTAAGATTGAATCTCTGCACAGAACAAGTATTGATGATAAAGACAGAACCCACGAATTTATAAAGAAACTCCCTAGAATTATTATAGGTCAAGTTCAACAAAAAAGTACTTACTTTCGAACTCAGAAATGTATCGTATCTTTATAGAATGCGCAGTTTGATAATCATAAATTTAAAACTAAAGTATCACTGAAGGAGTTTAGAACTGTTCTTAAAGAAAGACTTCAATATCGGTTTTCACCTTCTGAAGAAAGATAAATGTGCACTTTGTGAGTCTAGAAAAGAAAAAATATGTTAAATTTACTGAGAACAAAGAACTATCCTAATAAAACCATCTACATGACAAAGAAGAGTGCAAAATGCTTGTAATTTCAAAACAGAAACGCGCCAACGAAGATGACCATTTTGTTTGTATATGTAAAGGTTCGACGTCTAGAAAATATTAAATACTTCTCATGGTACTAACACGCTTTTATACTATTCATGAAAGTATTCAATTTTCAACGAAACTATGAAAACGGAACCATAAATGCATTTTGATATCTATTGGGGTGACTGCCCAAAAACTTTAACATCGGTTAAACTGGTAGAACTTTTAACAAACGTATAGCAGAACATAAAAGGGCTTTCAATAATAGAAAAAACAGATTCTACGCACGCACTTCACCTTCTAGACAATAATCATACTTTTAATAACGATTATTCACATTCAAAATAAAGGCCTTAAGCTATCTTTATTAGAATCTATGGAAATTAATAACTTAAAAAATATTCATAATTCTGAATGACCAACTTAAGACAAACAGTTCTTTCTTCCTCAACTTATTCAGTTGAAAAATATATGTGTAAACGCATACCAAAAATAGATCACTTGAGATAGGCACTCTGCCGAAATAGCTGTAGTGATTTGGAAGTGTTGAAAACAAAAGAAAAGCTTTTAGTATTTTATTACGTTAATTCAAGAAGTTAACTATATATACGTCTCCTAATCCTTCAATGTTAATTTCAAATTTATTTATATAAACAAACGATACCAAAATACGCTTAGTTGTTATTCTAAATCAGAATTGTTTTAGCTTCTCTATAATTATATTGATCACTCAACATATAGCGTATGGTACGATCTGAACAGAAATACGAGAGATTACAACTTACTATGATTTTTTCCTTTTTTGGCGCGTTGCTTCTAAAGATTTTGTTTTCTTGCGAAATGTCCACATTGTGTAATTCACTAGTCACTATAAACAACTTCTTTAACATTTTTTAAATGACTAACGAAGACGGCAATTCTAGTTCTCGAAAGGCATCAAACATATATTAAACCTATAATTATATAAAATGCTCACTGGCGTACCTTGTTAAAAATCAAGAATTTAGAGTTGTTATAAGAAGAAATATAAAAGAAAAGGATCATCCTCATATGCTTTTAAATAGGCACAGATTATTATTATATAGGGATATTTCTGTAACATAGGGATATTTCCTCGCAAGTTGTGAGAATTGCAGTTTAATCCTGTTTCTGCATATAGGCATTACTTGCTATTGTAGCTCTATCGTCTGTTTGTTTGTCATATGATTTGGATCAAACAACTTTTATAGAACTGTGATTATGTAGGTACACTAGTAGTAACAATTTAGTTTTCTAACAAAAACTGTCAATTTTCAGATTTGTGATTCATCAGTGTGATAGTCAAGTAGCCAAAGTCTTATTATAAATACCGACTGTAAATGTAAATAGTAAATTTGGTAATTAATTTTCTAAAATAAAACTGCATCAATTAAAATAAAAAAAAAAGATTTAAATGTGTTTTTTAAATTTTATAGTTGTTTATAAATTAGCATTTACAAATGGAAAGTTTGTAGTCAGAACAGAAATTTGTGTCGATAGAAATAATTGGTTTGACGAATGCAAGAATGCAAAAAAAGAAAAAAAATGAAGCCTACAAAAAAATGCACCAACGATTCTGAAGATAAAGATGCAGTTAAAAACTAGCCAGAAAAAAATACCGGAATAGATAATTTCCCAGCTGAACTATACAAAGAAGATGGCCATAATACATAATGGTATTACAGCAACTTATAAGAAAAATAAGAGAAATATGGACACAGAAATCCCTCCCCAATGATTAAAAAATTGAAATATTTGCACCATATACAAAAAAGGAGAAATCTTGAATGCTTTATCTACAGAGGAATTACGCTTCTAAATGCAGCGTATAAAATATTTTCCACAGTACTATGTCATCGTACGTCACCATATGCAGAACGGATAGTTGGAAATACCAGGCTGGTTTCAGAGGTGGTAAATCGACAATTCATCAGATTGCAACCCTGAAACAAATTTTGGAAAAAACACTAGAATAATGCAATCATCACATATTTATAGACCACAAAGCAGTCTACGACTCTGTGAATAGAAGAGAAATGTTCACAGCAATGAAAGAGCTAGGAATACCAAATCAGTTGGTAAATTTAACAAAACTAACTCTTGAAAAATTTGAATGTAGAGTACAAATTCGGGGGGAACTGTTAAAACCTTTTAAAACAAATTACGAGCTGTGCCAGGGAGACTCTCTCTCCTGTATACTGTTCAATCTGGCCCTGGAAAAAATAATACGTATGTCACAAATTACAACCACTGGTTCAACATATACACAATTAATACAAACCCTGCCCTATGCTGATGATATCAATATTGTTGGGAGAACGGAAAACACTGTATGAGAGGCGTATGTAGCATTAAAAGAATCAGCTACAAAAATGGGTTTAATAATAAACACAAAAAAAACGAAGTATATGAAAATAAACACGCAACTACAAATACTACGACCACTTGTTATAGAAAACGACGTCATCGAAGCACTGAACGAATTTGTATACTTGGGATCGCTCCTTAACACTAAAAATAATACTACCGCAGAGATAAACCGGCAGAATTTGCACGGCCAACAGATGCTATTTTGGGCTCAACCTTCTTCTTAAATCCACAAATATATCGAGAAATACAAAAATAAAACTCTACAAAATAATAATACGCCCAGTACTAACATATGGTTCAGAGACCTGGACTATAACAAAAAATAATGAAAACATGTTAGGATGTTTCGAAAGAAAAGTACTAAGGCGAATTTATGGAGAAGTGATGACAATGGAGTGTGGAGAAGACGATACAACTTTATAGAATATACCAGGAACCTGATATCGTAAAACACGTTAAGATAGGACGTATGACGTGTATAGGGCATGTAATGCGGATGGAACAAAATGACCCAGCTAGAAAAACGCTCCTTGATAGACCATTGGTCAGAGAAGAAGAGGAAGACCTAGAACAAAGTTCCTTGATAACATTGATGAAGACATGAGAAATATGGGAATACGTGCTTGGCGGAGAAAGGCGATGGATAGGAACCTTCTTCTTCCTTTGCCCTATCCGTTTCGGACGTAGGCTATTAACAAGGCTATTTTGATTTTATTTACGGCACCATTGAACAGTTCGGTCGATGTTAGTCCGAACCATTGTCGCAGGTTATGCATCCATGAGTGTCGTCTTCTTCCCGGTCCCCTCCTACTGTCGATTCTTCCTTGGACTATTAACTGTAGCATCTGGTACTTAGTATGCCTCATGACATGTCCGAAGTACTCAAGCTTCCGTTTCTTTACGGTGAAGATTATTTCTTCGCTTTGCCTATTCTCTGCATTACTTCCACGTTAGTGATGTGGTCTGTCCAGGATATCCGAAGAATACGGCGATATATCCACAGCTCAAAGGATTTGTGGTTGTTGTGTTGAACCACGTTCGTAGATTTTTCAGCCAGGAAATCCTTCGCCTTCGTGGTCCCCGTTTTCCTTCTACTTTTCCCTGCAAGATTAGTTACAGCAGTCCATATCTTTCGCTGTTCCTCATGATGTGACCGAGGTATTCGATTTTGGTTTTGGTTCCTTGAACACAAGCCCCCAATAAAATTATTAGACCCTACGAGACAGTAAAACTGATCACCAGCACCTGTTGGAGATTGATAAGCTCATCACTGCAGATAGGTTAACTCATCACAAGCATTTTTGCCTTAAGGCCTGTTACCTATCACATTTCTTGTTTACTTGGTAATCTAAAAAGCTTTACCTTTATATATATATATATATATATATATATATATATATATATATATATATATATATATATATATATATATATATAGTTATATATCGGTTAAATACAATGGTATACATTAAATGGTATGTAATTTTAAATAATACAATGGTATAGAACATCACTTTCATCTAACAAACAATCACATTACACCTATCTCTACTTCATTGGATCAAATCTATCTCGTCAAGAACTTCCCGTTTATTGTCAAACATCTACAATAGCAGACTTAAGTTTCCATTCAACAATACATGATTGTTTCAACCATGTTCTACCATCCATCAATTAATAGAGTACCGGCATGTAAGTAATGTTTTATTTATTTGCTCATTTATTAATTTATTACAATCTAATAGACTATTTTATAACAATTTGTGGGTCTTACCTTGTCTGTTAAAACTTTTCATACCTTTTTGTTCCTTTTTATTCATTTTGAAAAACCACAGACATGTAATATTGGCATAATTACTGTAATTTATAACACCTACTTTGTTTATCTTTATTAGACAACACCCTAATATGGGTTAATTATTATTTCAGCATTTATTTAACTTTGTATCGAGACCTGAAGATGCTTTGCATATTGTAGAAAGCGAAACCGGTCGTCTGGATAGTTAAATTAAATTGATCGTGAGTAAGTCTTATTTATTATTTCTTTACCTATTTGAAATGGACTCACACCAACACATTCATGATTTATTATTATATTATATTATATTATTATATTGAACAAATTGTCGGGAAAGAAATCATTATACATAAATGAATACTTGTCCAGAAAGTATGTAACTATGTAAAATATCCAATAGGATATATTCTAACCGAACATGTAAAATAAATATTATTACTAAAACTAATATAAAGGTTTTCAAGTTATATAAAAATAGCTGAATAAAAAACAGGGAGAAATGGATTTTGTAACAATTAGAGAAGATATAGTTGATAGATAATTGTCATAATATCTAAAAATCCTCCTCCTCATTCCTTAAACTCTTATCATGGCGTTAAACTTTAAATATTGTGAGCTTGCTCTCTTCACTGGCTGCGATTATGTGCCGCCATATGGACGGCTTCATGTAGAGATTTTCCTCTTGGTCTTCAGCCTTTTATCTTTCCTTCTACTTCCAATAGCTACCAATACCATGTTATGTTACCTATATGTCCGAAGTAATTTAGGTCTTTTTTTAATAGCCTTTATTTTCCAAAATTGACAAGTTGATTCTATGTTCTATCAGGACATGCGTATAATTCTTTTTAAAATAAAATAAAAATTTTTCCAGGTCTCTGCAATGCTTTCTAGGTCAGTTTTTACTTTTTTATTATGGTCTTAAATGGCTTGAAGTTGTGACTTGAATTTTCGTTACACACGTTATTTATATGGTTGTTTTTATCTCTGGTTCACATACATTTTATTGTTAGCTACTGTTTAGATCCGCTATTTCTTAAGCCTTACTTTCTGATTTTGTGGCATGTTTTGCATAACTCTTCTTTCTTCCATTAAGTCTAAGGTTTCCCCTGAAATCCAATGTTTGCTCAATTGTTTCTAAAATCAGTTAAGTTAAACGAATTAAATGAATGAAAGATACATAAGTTAGTTAGTCTTTCGTGAACTTAATTTAGAGTGTTGTCAAAACAAAAATAACAGATAAGTTAGTCAAAACCGCATTCGGAGTACCTACACCTTTCGTGAAACACCTATAACAGCAAATTGCTGAAATAACTAATCATCCAGCCGAATTTTCACATCCATTGTTGGATATAGGCCTCCTCCAAACGTCTCCAGTTCTCTCTATCTCTAGCTGCTGCAATCCAGTTTGTTTCTATTCTCTTTAGGTCGTCGGTCCATCCTGTGGGTGGTCTGCCTCGACTCGCTTGTCGGCTCTTGGTCTCCACTCCAATAATCTCTTCGTCCATCTTCCGTCTTCCATTCTAGCAACATGTCCAGCCCACCTCCACTTTTGTTTATTGATTCGCAGTATAATATCGTCTACGCCAGTTCGTCGGCGTATCTCCTCATTTCTTACGCGATCTTTCAAGGTGAGGCCCAGCATTGATCTCTCCATTCGCCTTTGTGTTACCCTCAGTTTTTCGGCAGTAGCTTTCGTTAAAGTTAAGGTCTCTGCTCCGTAGGTCAAGACTGGTAAGATGCAT